TAGGTCAAAGTGGAGCTGGAAATAACTGGGCCAAAGGTCACTATACAGAGGGAGCTGAGCTTGTGGACTCGGTGCTGGATGTGGTGAGAAAGGAGTCTGAAAACTGTGACTGCCTCCAGGGCTTCCAGCTTACCCACTCACTGGGCGGAGGAACAGGGTCTGGGATGGGCACACTGCTCATTAGCAAGATCCGTGAGGAGTACCCTGACAGGATCATGAACACCTTCAGTGTCATGCCTTCCCCAAAAGTATCTGACACTGTGGTAGAGCCTTACAACGCCACCCTTTCTGTTCACCAGCTTGTGGAAAACACAGATGAGACCTTCTGCATCGACAATGAGGCCCTGTATGATATTTGCTTCCGCACCTTGAAGCTTACAACACCAACCTATGGAGACCTTAACCACCTGGTGTCAGCCACCATGAGCGGAGTGACCACCTGCCTTCGCTTCCCTGGCCAACTCAATGCTGATCTTCGCAAGCTGGCCGTCAACATGGTTCCCTTCCCTCGTTTGCATTTCTTCATGCCAGGCTTCGCACCTCTTACCAGTCGAGGTAGCCAGCAGTACCGTGCCCTCTCTGTGCCAGAGCTCACTCAGCAAATGTTTGATGCCAAGAACATGATGGCAGCTTGTGACCCCCGCCATGGGCGCTATCTCACAGTGGCGGCCATCTTTCGTGGGCGCATGTCCATGAAGGAAGTTGATGAGCAGATGCTGAGTGTCCAGAATAAGAACAGCAGCTACTTTGTGGAATGGATTCCCAACAATGTGAAGACTGCTGTTTGCGACATTCCCCCTCGTGGCCTCAAGATGTCCGCCACCTTCATTGGGAATAGCACAGCAATCCAGGAGCTCTTCAGGAGAATCTCGGAACAGTTCACTGCCATGTTCCGTCGTAAGGCCTTCCTTCACTGGTACACCGGAGAGGGAATGGATGAGATGGAATTCACTGAGGCGGAGAGCAATATGAATGACCTTGTGTCAGAGTACCAGCAGTACCAGGATGCCACTGCCGATGAAATTGGCGAATATGAGGAAGACGAAATTGAAGATGAGGAAGATGTACGGCATGATGTTCGCCACTGATTAAACACCAACATTGAACTAGCTTTAGAATATATGTAGTATGCTTGTTATAAAGATATGTAATTTAACAATGCAAAGTAAAATGAAGTTTGTTGTTTATAGTCAAGACATTGCTGCTGAAAAACATTGCTGCTGCCAAAGCTGATTAGTAGTGTTAAGACTTGAAAAAACTTAAGGGATGATATGCGTTTTTTCCATAGCAGTGCTTTGCTTTGCAAATGTCAGAAGAAATAAAGAGATGCGCTAAACACAGTTTTGTAAAAAATTGTCTTGCATCTATGGTCTACAGTGCCAAATAAAAAATCCAAACTAAACTATATGTCTATGTCTATTCTGTCATTAATGAAACATTAGAACCATGTGACAATGTGTAGAAGTTTGGAGATAAAACATAATAATTTAAGTATTTTTTTTCTGTTTTTGTCAATTGACAGATTGAAAGTTATTAAAGTTTCACATGTAGAGCTGATCTAGGTGTCTACTGCTGACGTTACGATTTCTACACTGAGCCTTTATTGTTTTTTAAAGAAGTAATAAAACAAGCAGAACCTTAGCTTTTGGTTGTTGTTTTTTTTGTTTTTTTGTATATTTCTTCCAACAGCTTTATTCCATACATCTGGTCACGGTAGTGGTGACACATTTTCTTACACAATTTTTCAACAAATGCGCAAGGCTAAGGAGCTAATAACACCTAGTTTGTAAAGGTTCAAATTGCAAAGGATATCCTAACAATAGACCGGAGCATCTCCAAAACTGCAGCCTTTTCGGGATTATTCCTGACAGTTATTGATGATCATGGTCTAAGTAAAAGCATGACTGATGTTCAACACATCAGCTACTGTCACACGAACAATGAAGCAATGGGCAGATAAGCAACAGACGTGGAATGCAGAGCTTTCTGACAAATCCTTTTCTGTTTTTCACGGTAGGTTGAATGTGCAGTGCTCAAAAATGATGACACATGTCATCGGGGTAAATGGTGGAACTAAGTCAGCCCAGGCAGTTTGATACTGTTGAGTAATGCTGACAAACCTGCCATCCATGTTAACGTCACTTTGAAACATGCAACATAAATCATTGTCACATATTAGTCCACTGTTTGACAAGAACTCCATTTTCTAAAGCTTTAGCCTCTTTCACCTGAATTATGAACCCATTTACAAAACAAAGCTGATATAAGTAATGGATTGTGGGGGGGGGGGGTAGTCTTGGCCCTCAATTTCCTAGACTGAAATTTAATTAAGTATTTTTAGGATGTTGAAGCTTGGTCATTGAAGGTCCTATGGCAAAATACAGGGCTTAACCCTCCAGGACTAGGGTGGTGTCCATGCCTTGAGTTATCAAGGCGATTCTGCCAGCAAAGGGGGGCCAACCAAAATTTGTCGGGTTGTTATGTTTTTATTATGCTTGATTTCGTTGTATCATTTATGCCGTTTATCTTTGCATCTTTATGCACAGAGCTCATACCTTTTGCAACAATGGGTAAAGGGTAGAGTACAGAAAATAACAAGTTGACATGGTGTCAACTTCCTTTATCTATGTGATGGCTTTTTAAAACCAAAGCAGGCACTATTTAAAAAAAAAAAAAAAAAAAAAAAAAACATAAACAGGCCCACTCTTCACTTCATGAGTAGTAATGAAAATTTTTTTCCTGTCACAACTTTTCCCACTTTTAACATTATATGAAAGTTTGTCACATCATATCTAACAGCAACGTCCTTGAGAAACATGTGTGAGTTCACTATGAGTATGTAGTTCAAACAATGACTACTATTGTCACACCCTGGTGTGTTGCATTTTTTTTAGCAAGAATATCTATCTATCATATCTGAGCAAAGAAGGATGAGCAATAAATCACTTGCACTGTTTATCTATTTTACACAGAAAGCAAACAAACCATGGAAAGATACTTGTGTAAATTCTCAGTCATCTAGATCTTGCCAACCACAATACAGGCTGTATTTAAGCAGCATGTATTGACCTCCATGCTGCTTAAAGTCTAGTTGTCTTCCAGTTAAAGCCTGTTTTGTTGAAGCTATAAAAAGGTAAAGGTGTTGATGGATGAAACCTTGAAATATGATGCACACCCTTAAAGCAATTTAATAAAACAGATATGGATCAATACACCTCGAGAGATGGAAACAAATTAACACAAACATGCAGAGAGAGATAAAGACAAACAGGTTCCAGAGGTTTTTTGTACATTAGGGCCCCGCCCATAAATGTACTTGAGAAACTATGAATGTACAATTTGACTGTCAGAACACATGCTTTAAGATGAATGATGGCCAGAGGGATTAATTAGTGGATGACAACAACAAAGATAGAACACAATGTTGTGTTCCCATAAGCCAAGGTGACAAACTACTTTGTTTTTAGTTTCCTATTGAGGAAGTACTGGCAGAAACCAATCCTGTTAATGTTTAAAACACCAAGCCAGAACAGATCACACAATGTACATTTTAACAGTGAAACCGAATCCCAGTTTTCTGTTGCCATGGTGTAAAATCATGCTCTGACAGAAAGATAGAGACTACCTCATATGCATAAGGGTAAATTGTGGCTCAGCATAAAGAGTAGTTGTTAGAAGATTTAGGTTAGATTTGAGCTTCTTCTAGTTACATGACAAACAATAAAAGTAAATGCTGTTGCCACTTGCGCATCCAGGAAGACCTATATATACAGTATGTATGTATATATATATAAATTAATTTGGATAACATAATTTGGATATCAGTTGTCTGATGGCAGTGGGGAAGAAGCTGTTTCTGAAGAAGCATCACCCAGCTTTCATCTTCTCCTCAATATACCCTTTTAGCTGTCTGTTGTGTTCCTTGGGCTTCATATTACTGTTTGTCCACTAATATTCTCTACCAAGCATTCACACAAAAAGTCAGATTAAATTACAAACGGGCAGCCTTAATAAATTATGAATTGCTTGAATACTGAAAACAATCAGACAGGATTTTTAATTCAAGTTTTACATATCACTCTTTTTTAAAATTTAAAATATTGATAATGTATCACTTTCACTCAATAAGTTTGGGCAACTTTAATGAAATCTTCCATCAAATTCCAATACATCTATTGTTAAAGAGAACTTTTCAGGGAATGAAAAATAACAAAAACACTTTTCTTCTCTATAGACAAAAAACAGACAAAATAAAGCATATCTGGTGAGAAAAAGGATAAAAGTGTTTTTTTTAAGATTCAAAACAAATCCTGAGCTGGTTTTAGGCATCCTCCTGTAACCTAAACTGAAACCTTTTTGTGTGAGCTCTCACAAGGCAACCAATTGTTCTACAAAGGAATGCTACTGTAGATTTGGATGAATGTGAAATGTGAACCTTGCTCAGTGGACTAGGATTTAACCAGTTACTGTCTGTAGTCTGGGTGTATTTTTCTCATTAAAAACAAAAAAAGTGTTGTACTGATATATGATCTTTGTCCAACACATAAATGACATGCACATGGTTTAAAACTTTATACTAATTGAATATGCAAAAGCTTTTTAAAGCAAAAGAATGAAGAAAGTTTAAAGTGTAATAAGTTGGACGAGATGATTTGTATGTAATGCATAATCTCTCTAACTGTTGCTTACCTAATCAATATGTCAGAATCATATTCACAAAAGAGAGAAAAACCTTGTTTGACAAAAACATTTTTATTGAAACCAAACTTCTTTAATTTTAAAAATTCTCTATGATAGGATCTAAATACATACGTAGTATAAAATCTGAAAGTAAATTTTAGGTTTAGGATTAAAATGTACAATCTTAAATCAAATATGCCATATGTACAACTACTTTCGTAGCATGGTAAAATGTTTATAATAATTTAAAACAAATATTTAGGTTTTACTGTTTGATTTTAAGGTGATACTACTTGCAAATAAAAATAAACACATTTTCCTTTTTTTAACCCAATTTAGTTGCAATGCTACATTCCACAAACACAACAGATAAAAAAACAAGCAAAAACAGCAATAAAAAAATCCCCCCCTGACAAACCCTTTAATTATTTGGAGTATATCCCTTGATTATTCTAAGAAATGCAAATTAAGTGGTTACAAAAAAAACTGAGAAAAAAACACCATATACACTACCTAAATTGATTAAAAATCCATAAAATCACAACTCCTTGGGGGAAAAACAATTTGGCATTTACTTAGAGTGTACAAATGCTTGCAAAATACAAAATGGTGATAGAGAAATACTGTTAAAATAGTGAATATGGATAGGATACAGATGCTTTTTGTAAGCACTATTTAAATCACCTTTATATTGCAGTTAAAATGGAGAATATTTTCAGGATAAACAAAAACCAATGTAATTCTCCCTTTAAATGTGAGCTTTTTTCTTTTACATAGCAGTAAAAAAAATCATACATCAAGGAATTTGGCTGATGCTTCCATGGAAGTTCCATGGAAGTGATATGGTCATAAATCTGATAAACACTGATAAAGAAGTGTGATCAGTTACCTCAAAGTAAAGTTGAAAGTCTTTTATTATACAGGAAATCTAATTCTGTTGTAGTGCATCTCACAGAAAAAGAATATATGCACACACGTACATGTCATTACATGTGTGATCTCAGTGCATAGGCAAAACAAGGGATTCTTTATGTGCTTGACTCGACATTCCTCTCAGTTACTGAGACTTTTTTACGCTGCACAACAACCCTCTGCCCACCTTGAAACCTGGGTGTGGTTGTTGTTGCGAAGTCCTCCTTTGAGCCTGCAGAGCCTCGGGAGCCTGCTGAAAACGACTTCAAATGAACTTCTTTACCTCCCACATCAAAGCCCACTTCTGAAAACCTCTGCGGTACTTGACCAGAACTCTGCATGTAATGTGTACTGTGCTTCTGACCTGCAGACCCATTCTCAACAAACAACACTTGACTGGATTCAGTGATTCCCTGTGAGAGCCCCTGTGCTACCTGTCCAGATGCCCCGTTCATTCCCACCTGCCCTTCAACAACCATCATACCCTGAGAACCTTGGATGCCTCCAACTTGTATTAACCCTTGACTGAGCCCAGCTTGACCCACCTGACCAACCAGCTGTTGTGTTCCTCCTGACACAAGCACCATTTGGGGTTTGGACTCAACCACATACATGGGTGTAGCTGCATAGTACATGGGAGGCTGCTGTATGAGTAGTGTTTGGTTAGGGATGACAACTTTCTCCTGGACATTGGAAAGAGTTGCAGAACGCTGGGAGCTCTTAGTAACTTTCTCCTCTTCGATGATAACGGAGGATCCAGAAGCTTCATTAGACACGTTGAGGTTGCTGACATTCATGTGGTCTCTATCTCTAAATGTATCGGTATGAGTATGGACATGTGTGTGGGTTGAAGTGGAGGGCCTGGCTGTAGATACTGTTTGCTTCGAAAGATTAGAAACTCCAATATCCACATAACTGCTCTCCAGCGTTGTTCCCTGGCAGATTTCAGCCAGAGTTTTAAATTTAGGCCCGAGGTCATCAAGGAAAGCAAGGTCATTCTCATTTTCAAGAAGGCTGCAGCAACCTACAGAACCTGCCAGTGATTCTTGGCCCTCATAGTTGTAGATCATCTCAGAATCTTTCTCCTGTTGTTGCTGTGAAGATTGATTTAATTTCTGCAAATCATAAAAAAAGTAAATTAGATCATGTACACAGAAGAGAAAAATGCAGTTTCCCGGTATGCAACGAGGAAAACTAGGGGTGAAAATGAAATTATTTACATATTTATCCCATCTTTAGTCTTTAAAACAGGCCCAATAAAGCCTAAAGTATAGGAGTCACAAAACCAATGAGTTTTTTTCTAATATATGTCTTGATCACCTCTTTTTCCTATGCTCAACTGTCCAATGTTACATATTATATAGAGTTTTCTTCTCCTTTAAGTTGGAGATATAGCAAGATAATTTGAATACCATTTTCTAATTATGTATCTTTAAACATTCTTGTCAAGTCTAGACATTAAAGCTGTTCTAAGGAAAGTAATAAATGCTCCAAAAAAGATTAGGGCATAAAGTATGCAATTCATTTAACTTCAAGTGGGTTTTTAAAGGTGCTACCTTAATAGCGATATATATAACAATATGGATAAAAAAAAAGTATGTTATAAAGAAAATTCAGTTGATTTCTGTTATAAAAAATTTGCTTCCACCCAAAAAAGCTAAATATTTTGTCATGTTTATAAAAGACCATGTCAAAAAATGCACTATTAAAAGCCATCACAAAGGGACCTTACCTTAAATTGTTATCCGTTACTCATGGCATAAGTTGTTTTTTTCTCCCTCTATGTTATTTAACAGACTCCACACAGAGCACAGTAATGTGTTTTAAAATTATTCTGGGCCTACCTTGTTTGTGAGTATATCAAGTCAATTTGCTACTGAAAGAAGCCGGTGGAGATAATTCTTGCTTTTTATAATATAATATGTCTTCAATCTGGTAGCAGACACAGACCCTCCCATGTTTCACATCTTTTTCTTGAATAGATTTAACCTTAAGTTTTTTTATCATTTAGTTTATTTCATTTTTTTATTATTTTATTCATACTACATAGGCTTCCTACGTAAGGCGCACTATAAATCATATTAAGTATTATGATCATCTTTCTTTTACAGCGATTCTCAAACTGCCCGTGGCACACAAATCTATTAATTTTACTGTGGTGAAAAAAAAACGGTTTGCAAGTCTCAACATTTGTGCAGAAATCCTCATAAATCAACCACAACAAACCCACTAATAGCATGTGTAAAAAAACCAAAAACATATTGCACGTGCAATTTAGCACCCTACGGAATCTTTCAAAATCAGGCGATCCGACTAGGTATACTGTAATGAAACTTACATCGAAATAGTATGCCTGCAGATAATAGCTTGGCAAAGCCATCCCATCAAAGACTGTAGATCTGTACTGAGACATGCTCATGTCTTGTCCTGCCATTGACGTTGTGCCCATAAAATCCTTCAGATTCTGGCCTGTGGAATAATTGTAGTTGTATTTGTTGTACATGTGCATGTCCTCTGCTGTCATAGTTCCGCCTCCTCTTCCACCAAATGCAGCCTCTGAGTTGACCAAATGATCAAGGTATCCCTTTCTGGCATAGAAGTCGATGTCCTTCTTATTTATTGTATCATTATCAACAGACACAGGGACTTGGAGATGAGAAACTTCCTGTGGGTTAGAAGGCAATTATAAGTTCTGTAAGGGACAAAGAATTTATTGCAAGAAAATAAAATTCTACTGTGTGAAATCTCATTGCACCTTGTCTTCTCCTTGTCCCTCAGTGTGATATGAGATGAGATTTTCTTTTGCCTCAAAAGGAATAGCCTTAAAATCTCTTGCAGCACCTCCACAGAGACAGGCGAGCAGAAGAAGGGGAATCACTGGAAAATAAATCCACAACTTTGTTTTAAACAGCAGCCAGGGCAAGTTAACAGTTCCTATCTTCAACGCATCATTATTAACACATCTAGATGATTAAGTCATAGTTGTGCAACTGAGACAGATGTCTTTTTTTATATATGCAACAACTTGTTCTGTTAAACTACTTGGAAATGTAATGATTCTTATCAGTATTTCCAACCTGAAAACACTTTCTTTACTTACACAGAAGGAGCAACAGTCCGAGCAGCATGAGCAAGATACCCCCAGCTCCAAAACTGCTTGAACTGCCTTTGGAGCGTGACAAGCAGGTCTTGGTGTTTTCGTTACATGCGCACACAGTTAGGTCAACAATTTGGACTTCATCGCAGGACTTCCCCTGCTGGTCCTTGATCTCCAGGGATACTTTGTAGATCCCTGGCCACAGGCTTCCTTTGTCTCGAAGGAGGACGGTGGTTGCTAAGAAAGATGACATCTCAATGTAAGATTTACAACCCAATATGAAAGTAAGCTACTTTTGATTCTGACTCAGTTAAGCTAGAACAATATGCAGATGTAGGATTTGTGAAAATAACTGTAAGAAAAACAAGCTTTAGTTTTATGTTATCTGAATTATTTCTGAATAAATTCAACCTGAAGCCAAAAATTCAAGAGACCTTTCACCAGAAATCTGCAAAGAAAAACACCTACCATTATAAGGTTCCACGAACCAATTCTCATTGCTGTCTTCTTGCTTTACAATAAACTCAAATGGTGCTGAGTTGGGGAACATATCTTTGTCCTCTGCTGTGACGTAAATGACATTATCACCGAAGCACATTGTTTGGGTCGTGGAGGTCAGCGTTGGACAGTGGTCGTTAAAGTCATCCACCTGAATGGCAATGGTTCCTGTGGCAGTTTTTGAAGGGACCTCTGAAAACCAGGTAAAACAGAGATATGTTGGTTTGACCTAGTTTGTTTAGTTTTATTTATGTAATACTAATAGAATTACTACTTATAATACTTCTATATAGGATGGAATCAGGAAGATTCAAAATAGGCCCTTTTATAATAAAACATACCATAACATTTCAGCATAATAAACTGTCAACATGGTTATTAAAGTTATGAATTTAATCAATTCTTAGGTAACTTACCATTGGTGATGCAAAGAATTTTGGCGTAGTATGTTCCATTGACCAAAAACGTCGACTCTCGATCAGGAAATTTATTTAACTTGATTTCGGCTGTTTTTTCATCAATACTTATCCAGTTGTCTTTGTCAAACAGCTTTGCATACCTGAAAGTGAAAGAGAAACAAATTCAGTTTAATTTCATATATCTATAAAGTAGAAATTCCTCACTTTACAAGACCCACAGAATTCTAGTCATTTCTAGTCGAATTGGGTATAAACACATTCATATTCATTAAATTCATTATGATCAAACCACATGCTTTTAGATTCAGAATGACAACAAATAGATGTTTTTTTATATAATAATTTAAAAACAGAATAAAAACTATATCTATGCTCCATTAATTTATTCTAGTCTAATAAAATCTAATTGAGCTGTAGTAGGATAAGCACTAAACTTCAGAACTTTAAAATCAGAATTTTGTGAAACTAGTTTGAAAACAAATCCGATTTAAATATTGCTTTTGCATGAACACCAAGGTTTATTTTAGAATGACATCAGAACAAGATTTTCTTCTAAGTAAGAGACATTACCTCACATTAGTTGCAGTCTTCTGAGTGTCACTATCTGTAGCAGTATATGTTGCTATGACCTTGCTGAGGGAGATGGAATTCTTTTCCTCAGAGATGGTTACAACTTTCACATTGGGCTGGAACTTTGGCCCCTCTTTCTGATTGATGACATCTATTTTGATGGGATATGGCTTTGATGTGGAAGCTCCAGTTATTATCATGCTGCTGCCATAGTTGTACTCTGCTTCATTTTTAACCTTCACTCCAAGATTTACCGTCTTTATTTCCTCATAGTCCAGAGCCTATAGGTTATAAGCAAGTGATCAGCAGGAGAAAAAGGCTTTCAACACTAATACTATACCATCTCTGATTGGAAAAACCTATTAATTGACTTATCACATAAACATAGAATATTCCACACCAATTAGATTATTCAAAACACAGTCTATTTTTATCTGATGCAAGAATAAAAGACAAAAAAGGGACAATTTTTTAAGTAAATGTTGAGAAAATTTCTAATTCTAATAATCCTGGTATTATGTGTTCTCTTGTATTGTGAGCTGGGTATAACACACCTACTTTAGGGTTTTTTTTTAAACTTTTTTTATTCAAACAGACCTTAGTAACTGTTATGACTCCCTCGTTGGTCTTTTTATCAGTTGTGATTTGAAAATAACCAGCTTCGTTTCCTGAAACGATTTCATACATCGCAAACCAGTTGGTTGTATTGATCAGATCCAGGTCGACTGCTTGTATCCTTAGAACTTCAACCCCAACCGTGTTCTCCTCAATTTTTCCCTCATACTGGTGAAAATAGGCCAAAAGAAAATAATGAACATATATTATCCATACATTACTTTGTAGAATGATTTTATGATTGTTTTTGACATATACCGTTTCTTTTTCCAGAGTTGGAATATTGTCATTTATGTCTGTGAGTTTAATCTCAATTTCACCAGTTCCTGTGTTCCCTCCTGCCTTGCCATTCAAGTCAGAAGCAATGATGGTCAACTTGTATGTGTCTTGAGTCTGAAAGAAAAAGGTTTTCAATAATGAATTTGAGTTTTAAATCCAATAGGAATTGGTGCCTTCTAGGGAACAACACATCATGTCATAGAAACCACACAGTGACTCACCTCTCTATCTAGAGAGGTCTTTGCAATCATGACCTCTCCTGTTTGCGAGTTGATACTGAACATCCCATCTCTGTTACTGCGCTCATCTATGCTGTAGAAGATCTGGGCGTTTTCAGTGTTCGAGTCATCATCATCTGTAGCTATCACTTTCATGACAACAGTACCTACCAAAAATACATTTACTATCGTTAGTCCATTGTAGCAAATACATATTTTTTTCGAATTCAGATCAGAAATGCTTTAAGGATCTTTGATACCTAGTTTGCTGTGCTCGCTGACTTGTGCAATTTGCTGTGCTTTTATGACTGGAGGGCAGTCATTAATGTCCAAGACCTTAATAAGGAGAGCAATATCCTTCTCTGCAAGAGTCCCATCACTATATCTTGCCAAACCCGTAAGCTAAAAAGATAAGCAAAACAAACTTTTCAATCCTTCCCCTTAATTTTGCAAAAAACGAAAAACAAAACAAAAAACAATTAAAAGTCTTCTCTTACATTATACTGTGCAATTTCCTCTCGGTCCAGGATAGAATGGACCTTTATGTAGCCAGTGTCTCGGTTAACAGTAAATCTGCCTACAGGATCTTGGTCAGCACCAGGACCAGATAAATAGTAAAATATCTTTTTGTCAGTCTCCTTATCTGAGCGAATCTGGAATACAGATGCATAAAGTTAGACAAGAACCACATGGAAACCTAGCTACTTTAACTACACAATCAAGGATAGCCTACATTATTTCAAAAATTCTTGTCTGCTTGAAAGTGGTCTAACTTCAATTTCCGGCTGAATTACAAAATAGTCTCACATAACTTAATGTAAATGCATTTTGTCATCCAGAATATTTTTTGAGTAAATCTAGATAAAGACCAAAATTATATTTACAATTCTGTAATACAATGAAACTTAAAAAGACATTTTTTTTCTTGTTTTATTATGGGAACATTTAGCTTTATTTAATAGATTCCATACTGTATTGAGTTTGTGATGAAAGGCTAAATGTTAGTTGGACAGACTAGTCTTAAAAAACTGATACATATAGAAATCTATTCTTAAGTGAGGCTTATAGGTTTGCATTTTGGTAATAATTTGCAGAGAAACAAAACAATGAAATACACACTCTAGCTACGAAATCGTAGGTGGTGTAGTCCTGTCCCTCATCAAGGTTTCTGGGAGCAAGGATCCAAGTTCTTTTCTGCCTCCTCAGCACTCCACCATGTTCTTGTACTGTCACAGGAACCAGCTTAAGGAGAAAAAGAAAAATACAGAATAAACAAAAGAAATAGACATGTAGTAATGCCAAAGCCAGAAACAACCAGCTGCTGCTCCTGTGTTGTCTTATTTCTAGAACCATTTCCTTCCAGCTTCTTATCAAATTTCAAAACAAGCATACATATTCCAACTTTCAGAGGTAATGATTTGCTTTAACCCACCAGCGGGGTGTATGCCACAGTACATAAGAATTGGGATTAAGAATCATGATTATTCCAACAAAAAAGTATTTAAAGGTAAAAAATTCCTTTAACATTACTTAACCTCTGAAAACACAGCTTTTGGAGTATCTTAACCATTTGTTGATGTTTTACAAATACGTCCCCGAAACATTTGTGTCATAATTTATAAGATTTGCAGTGAGTTTGTCGATTACTCAAGAACTAATAACAGGAAATTTGTGGACAATATTCACTATTTCCAACAGTTGATAGTTTGTTTTCCTTTATCTAACATAATATAACACTTTCTAAATGTGCAATTAGACAGAAGCTTCTAATTTACAGAAAGTCTCGCTTTGAGTTCCTTCTCAAAAAGCTAAATAGGAAGTCAGAAAGGATGAAGAAGGAGGAATAAATAAATAAATTAACAAAGCGGCTTATTCTATTTCATCATGGCCTGTGGATATTTGGTGTCATCCTGTATTTCATGGTTGGGAATGTCTTCCAACGGTGTTAAAATATACTTTTAAATGTATTTGACTGCGATAAAACAAAGGCTGGTTGATAAAGGTTTTTTTAATACTACACCAATATCTATTTAAACTTTTGAGCAGCTTTTATTTTTATTTTTATCCAATTTTCATGAGTTGTGTGGGTTAGAAAGAAAGAGGAAAAAAAACTCAAACAAACGAAACTGGCTCCCCTTCCAAAACAACCCTTAGCACAAAGTAGTATACTTGAAGTAAATTCTATTAAGAATACTTAAGTATAAGTTTAGAAAGTATACCAAACAATGTACTTTTAGTGTACTTGAAGTATTACTAAAGTAATACCTCTTCGAACTAAATTGGGACATTCAATTTTATACTTAAAGTATACATTAGTAAACAATAAAGTAAACAATAGTATAGTCAAGTACTCTTGACTATACTATTGTTAAGTATGTGAAATATAGTTTAGAATAAGTATACTCTAAGTGCACTGCCTGATTTTAAGTATGAAATTAGTGCACTTTTAGTATACTTGAATAAACTACTTTTTGCTAAGGGAAATAGGATCTTAAACACGCATAAAGTTGTTTTTCTTTTTTTCCTGAGATAACTGCGCTGTCTTTCCATCCAGATCCCCTCAAAGTCAGACTACAGACCACACCTGTAGGACGATCGGCTTCCCCTTGTTTTTTCCTGTAAATAGCTTTTTTAATGAGATAGACGTCGTTACTTACAGTGAGGACCGTCAGTAGAAGGAAAAGCCTGCCTCTAAGCAGATCCATCAGTTCGAGAATGAAATAATAAAAAAAAGGATTTATCCAAGTTTTGATGTAAGATCGCCTGAGTTTTAGATCCGCTGTAGGCTTTTTGTTGGTTGCTTCAGACTTTGACCCGGTTGAGGAGGAATGAGCTGTATTTTAGTGCGGGGCGTGTCTATTCTTTCTATAGAGCTCTTCACGATAAAAGGACTACAGTGAGAATGTTGTGTAAAGCTTTATATCCTGTCTGCTTTCTACTGACGGGGAAAAAATAGAAAGTCGAAACTGATTCAGGTTGCGTAGTAATAAAAACCTGAGTGTGGACTAGTCTGCCATGTCTCTATGGCTCCAAAGAGTTAATGTCTGATACAGGGCCGTTCATACATGCGACGCTTCAGGGCAACACTGTCCTCATTTCTCTTATTGTTAGCCTATTTGCATTTCCTCAGAAAACTCATGCTTGAAAGTTGCTTTGCAATTATCCAGCAATCTCGCAGAGCCTGTAGCTTTACTGGATAATAGAATTAGTCAGGGAAAAGCCACATAAACAAAACAATTATTACAACAATTAAAACCAATTAAAGTATTTAACTAGTGCTAACTAGCCTCGTGTTACAAAATAAAACTATCAAACAATTTCATAAAGAAAAAGAATCAGTTATCATGTGGATTAGACACGACCTGCTGAGGGTAAAAGCCAACTGTGCGCCTGTGCTTTAGACACTACAAAAATGATTTAGGGTATTTCTATCTATCTATCTATCTATCTATCTATCTATCTATCTATCTATCTATCTATCTATCTATCTATCTATCTATCTATCTATCTATCTATCTATCTATCTATCTATCTATCTATCTATCTATCTATCTATCTATCTATCTATCTATCTATCTATCTATCTATCTATCTATCTATCTATCTATCTATCTATCTATCTATCTATCTATCTATCTATCTATCTATCTATCTATCTATCTATCTATCTATCTTCTATATGATTTGTAATAAATTATGTTTAACACTAAGAGTGTTTAATGATTTTTTTTTTTACATTTCAATTCAATACGTTGAATAGGAGTATACACAGTAAATGTTGCAGTGTTAAAGTAACACTTTGAGTGTTAAAGTAACACTTTGAGTGTTAAAGTGACACTTTCAGAGTATGTGTGGTCCCACACTAATTCAGAGTGGGGCCAAATGCACTCTTGAGTGTTACTTTAACACTGTAACATTTATTGTGTACATTTTTGGTGGAGGCTAGAATTTAGTCAATTAAATGTTTTTACTTAATTTTGGAAGTAATAACCTTTTCTCTCATGCTTTCCTTTGAATGCAGCATCAGTTAATGTAAATGCAGAAATAATGGAAAGTATAAAGAATGGATAAGAAAAAAGGTAATCGGTCCTATGATGAGCAGTGAGCTTAAACAGAATTGGGCCCGCTGAATCTAACACATTATTCTTCTGTAGGAACTCAATATAAAACAGTTTTTTGTGTGTTTGTCTGTTTGTTTGAAAGTCATTTTTATTCTCTTAGTCTGAATTGACACATCTGTCTTCATTCTTGCCTTTACTTATCTTATTAGACTTTAGATCTGTGGTGCATTTTTAAAGCTGACCAGCAGGGGGCCATAAGCAACAGCAAAGTCTGCTTATACATCAGGCCAGTCCTGGACTCCAAAATATATAAAGTGTATTTCCCAGCTTGTTTGTGGTGTGGAATATTTAACCAGCACTTCCTTGACAATAAATAATTGCTTTAATACTTTCATCTGAAACCAAAAAGGATTTGTTGTAAAATCAAAAGAGCTTTCTTTGTAATTGAAGACTAAAGGAACTTCTTGGAAAAGTGCAAATGTAAAACTGGTCTCATGCGGTGCAGCCTTTGAATCATAGTATCATTACCCACTTTTACTTTTTGACCATATAGTATGAGATACAGGCTTGAATAAAATCAAAACTGAGTTCATCCTCTTGGTCTAAAATGTTTTCACCTCTCTGTTAAACTTCACGTGGCGCCATGAAATTCTATAACTGAGTATCATAGATTGTTTTTCACCTTTGGCACCACTGGGCCACACTTTGTTTGAGCTTAAGCAGCCATAGTTGTGTTCTTGGCTAAATAAAAAAAGGAGAGCAAGATGCGACTGAGAGGGAATTCAGCAAGCATGGTCATAATGCTAAGTGCTAAAAGGAAATGCAGTATCAGTTTTATTTAGCATGTGGCTTTGACAAATATGATATAATCCATTAGAATTAATCATTTTTAATCACTTCAATGGAGAGTTGTTTTTTTATTGTGTTTCTTAATCAAGTTGATCTCTAGTTGAATGTCTGGTTTAGGTGCAGCCATATGTGACAAACTTGCGTAATGGTGAGAAACGGATTTATTATACAGTAATGAGGCGTATCTCTATGAATGGGGTTAATTAGGAGCTTAACATCACTATTATAGAGAATAGGTGTTGCGTAAGTCTTTCTAGTAAGAGAAACCATCCATTGAACAAAACTATATATGTTCAAAAGGCACAGTATAAATACTTTCCTTTAGAAATAACATTTGGATTGCAATTAAGATGAACCTTAAATTGCCTCATGCACCTTAAATGCTTGAAGATTGAAAAGCATAATAACTTTGCAAAATGCAGACCAAGCTAATGTATTTACAAGTAACAGCTTTGGGGCCTTAAGGAGGACTAATTGCAAAAGCAGATGAATAACACGATGACTGTTGCAAAACAAAACACCAACATTCCTCAAGTGATGCTGAAACAGCTGAAGATCCAAATACTGCAGTTTGTTTCGAGAGCATTCGAAGCTCATGAACAGTTTTTCATTGTGACATTAAAAACACAAAATAATCTTTTAATGAATTTTTGTGGAAGTTTGTGCTCTAGAGAACTCCTGAAGCCTATTAGCCCATAAAGTAAAAAGAAAAGGTGCTTTTTATTTCAACGCTTTTATGAAAACAATCTGAAAAGGGTGTTGTGTTTTTGCAGAACTCCTTTCATTTCAATGACAGCTGCAGAATTCAGTTGTTAAATCCTCACACCACCAGTTGATTTTAATTCAGTATCACTCCTAAATATGTTTACTGTTTTTTGTATGTTTTTCATTTTACCATAATCTTTCCCATTGTTATTGATGTGTATAATTAATTTTTAGCCTTTAACTGGCTTTAATTGTAGGTGGTAAAAATTCAGAGAAACTAAATTAACTCTATTCATATAGCAGCAACTTATTATAAAAGAACATATTGGTTAAAACTTTTGTATAAATTAGTTTTTTTTCCCTCTGTACATATATGTTGTGAAAATGTTTTTGCTACTCTTTGGAAATACGTTTGTTATAATGGAGACTTGCATTTAAATTCTATATTGCTTCACTTTACATAAGCAAAAAACTTAGAGATTCAGTTGAGTTCAGTCAAACAAGTTTAGTTTATTGATTTGAATTTTGAGAACACAAAAAATGTTTTCCTGTAGTGTTGCCCGATTTTAGTTTTACCCTCTTTTCTCATCAGCTATGAACAGCTTCCAAATATCTGATAAACATCTCCACAGCATGATGCTGCCACCAACTTGTCTCACTGTTGTTGGTTATATTTAGGGGTATGTGCACTGTAAGCTGTACCTCCATAGTTAGCATCTAGCATGTGTGACAGTGTGGGGTCTTGTGAGTATTCCTCAGACTGATGATTCACCCTGGTTACTAGGCCAAGTGCTCTCCCTTTGGCTGACTGGTCAGCATGTAGAACTGCCTAGGGCTCTGCCTGGGCCCTCTGTTGTGTATCTTGCCACATGTGTATCCTGAAAAAAAATCTTTCATCATATCTGAAACCATATGGTGCATTAATATGTGAATTAACTCTTGCTAATAGGCCACATTTGCAGAGAGCTCAACCAATATCTGTGCTGCTTCTCATTTTTTAATTGTTTTGTTGTTTACAAGTATTAACTACTTTGTGTCAGCTTACTCAGTTAAATTTCATAAGATTCCTTGAAGTTTGTGTCATAAATAAGTTCAAATGTGGAAAGTTAGGGTGTGATGCTTTCCCAAATACAACACACCACATGCCTCTAAGCAGCAGGTAAAGAACAGTACAGGGCTGGTCTCTTTTTTTTCCCCAGAGCATGAATATTGTCAGATGTCACTAGAGATGTCGCAATATTACTTATCAAGCGAGGTGATTAAGTACACCCTGTCTTGAAGCCTTTTATGTCCCACTGTGACTAGTGCCATGCCAACGTGTGACACGCCCACCGAAACATTAACAGTAACACCTGAACAGGTGTGCTGATTGAAATTGTGGTGTGTAATTGTGAGTTCTCACTACAGATGGCTTTTTTCCAAAACCAATTCCGGGATTCCTTGAAATAAAAAATAAAAGCAATCTATATGATTGCAAGTGAAATAGGAAGGGACACTTATAAGACACACAAACAGGAGATTGTTTACTTGTTAAACAAAGTGAAAACTGAGCGCAGTGAAAACAAACTTTCTTTTAGGCTCCAGAAAGGATATTTGCTCGGTGTGTTGTACATACTTCCAGCTCCTCTCATTATGTCCACACCCATGACTCACAGCAGCACTGTCTTCCTGAGATTTTTCACCCTTCCTCCTGCAGCCACACCGACACACACACACACCCCTGCAGTCCTGATCAACCCTGTGCAACCCTGTCAACTCGCTGGAGCTGTTTTCTTTTAAACAATGTCAATGTCCCCTTTACTTTTATCAGTTGTTTACAGAGATAGTGAACATTTTGTGGTGGGAAAACACCCTCCCCCACAGCAGGCTCCATTTAGGCTCACATTCCTGTGGCGTTAAATGAGGATCCAGGCACATTGATTCTAAACCTTGCCAGAAAGTTTGAGTGAAAATGCAGAGGAGGAGCAAGCAGAAGTTAAGATATTTAAAGCCCACAAAGACCACTAACCACACTGTAGGTGTGACTGTTTGTTTGACCCTGTGCCATCAGAAGCAGAACACAGCAGAAATAAAGTCCGCCCTCCCATAATAAAAAAAAAAGAAAAAATGGAGAAAGGAACTAGTGACATATCGATAAGAAGCGAGATCCACTTCACTGTTTGAGCTGCAGAGCAACTTCAGGTGGACTCTGGTTACAAAGTCCGACTACCTATACTCCAAAATGACAAAGGTTTTAGTTTATCCGCTCTTTTCGCTATTGGTAAGTTTTTTTTTATATTTAATCTTTATACAAAACGTTTCTAACTGTCAATGCTTGTCAGTTCAATTTCCTGAAAAGAGACTCCTGTATAAAAGTTGACTCTGTGGAGCGATAAGCCCGTTGAAACTGAACTACTTTTGTGCATTTTTTTCACCTCAGATCCTTTTCTGTGTGGAGTCATGTTTTATTCCCCATTCACATTATATCTTTACACCACAAAGCATTCCAGCTGGATACCAGCTCATGAAAGGTACCTCCATCTTACAGTATATATAAATTGACGCATCTTGCTTGGTTTGGGGTTAAAAATGACTTTCTCCTCTCTGTATTCTATTTCTTTAGTTGAAACTGTGGACTGTGACCCTGACACACTTCATCTAACTGTGGAGGATCCTAGTTTTGCAGTGCAGAGCAACGGGATCATAGTAGCAGTGAGTCCTGTATCTGTAGCAACCAGAGGGCGGACATTTTCTGTCAGGGCGCAGGACAAAAGCGGGACGGGAAGTGAGATGGAAGTTCACCTTGTTTGCAGTGCAAAGAGGCAGACAAATGTAATTTCACTGAATATTGCATTTTTAAAATTTTTTTTTTTTCCACCCACCAAATTGCATAGAACTGATGGTAATAACTTATTTCCTGCAGAAAAATGGGCAGGATGTCTTAAAGCGCACAAAAAGACACTGGGGTCCACCCCCCCTCAACATCCTGGAGAATGATGTGGGGCCTTTTCCTAAGGACATGGAAAGAGTATGTGTTATAAATACATTTTTGTTATATTTATTTCTTTTTACATAGATTGACATTTTAACATCCCCCTTTTTTTTATTAACATTATTGTCTCAAATACAGACTTTAACTTATCTATGGCCACACACTGCAGAAAAGTACTGGGGAAAATACTTTTTCTTTATTTTTTAGAATTGCTTATCATTTGTGGTTGTGGTAAAACTGAATATTTATGGCATAGAACTCGTTATTGATCTTTTTATCTTTTGGACCAGCCGATGAACTTGCTTGTATAGTTTGAAAGTCTAACAGCAAACATGTCAAAACTCTATGATACACAAGCCCCATCTGACAGGTTAAAAGTTTTTATTTCCTCTGTCCAGCAATAACATAAAGGCATAATTTCAAATTAAACTGAACTTCCCATGGAATAAACAATCTAGTGTTATCTGTAAACTGCGTTAGGTCTGAATAAGGAGGTCTCCCCGTTTGCCTTATTTATAGAAAGAGTATTTCCAAATTTTCTGGTGATCAATTCTGTTTTTTTTCTTCTCAGCAACAAAAACAAAATCAAGATTGCTCTTCATAGATACTATTTTTAGCCTAGTTTCTTAAATATAATTTCATTAACTTAGATTAAAAATCAAAAGAATGTTTATGTTCAGTTGATGATAACAAAATATTTGTCTTGTAGGACACATTTTCCTTTTTAAGATTTTAAAATGCATTAACCACCTGTGCCTTTAATGAATTTATTTTATTCATAAACTGGTCAAAGATCACACAAAATCCCAATTAGTTCCACCAATTGTTTTCCTGAGCCACAGTTTGGAGATATATGCATGAAAGAAACCAATTAAGTTGGTTTTCATGTTTTCTTCATAATGACTTAAATTATTTGGTACTCATAGTAATAAATGTAAAAGGAAGGACACGTGTATTTAGAAAAATTATTGCACTAATTTTTGTGGCTGTAAGAGCCCAAAACCATTGATTGGATAGTAAAATGTGGCTAGTGTCAAGTTTCTGCACTTCAAGGCTTATGTGGTGTAGCTGAAAAGTAAAAACAAAAACAAAACAGTAGTTTTTTTTAAACAGTACAAAAATATTACATTCAATTAGATTTTGATGTAGGATTTATTAATACTCGCTAAACTACGCAACAAAGTAAAACATAAAATCCAATTATATTATCATGAGTTTGAAAAAAAAAAAAAAAAAAAAAAAAAAAAAAAAAAATATATATATATATATATATATATATATATATATATATATATATATATATATATATATATATATATATATATATATACTGTAAGATGGAGGTACCTTTCATGAGCTGGTATCCAGCTGGAATGCTTTGTGGTGTAAAGATATAATGTGAATGGGGAATAAAGCATGACTCAACACAGAAAAGGATCTGAGGGGAAAAAATGCACAAAAGTAGTTCAGTTTCAGTTTTCAATGAATTATCAGTTCTAATCACGGATTGTTGCAAGATCAATTGAAATGATGATCTACAACGTCATTATTATACTCAATAATTCCATGCCTTTCTAATATTGGGTTTATTTAGGTGTCATAGGGAATCCCAGTTAATAATAAGTGAACCTATATTGATCTCACATTGGAGAAATTTCCTCTCTGCATTTAACACATCCCCTTGGGGAGCAATGGACTGCCATTGTGGGGCGCCCGGGGAGCAGTGTGGGGTTAAGGGTCTGGCTCACAGACCCAGAGTGGCAGTCTGTGGGAGAGGGGCTTGATTTCTGAACCTCAGGGTTCCAAGCTCTTTTCCCTAACCACTAAGGCTGCCACTCCCCCCACTAGGCATCCACTCCCCAGTTTTTAGTCTTAGGGTTCAAATCATTGCATTGCAAGCTTGCAAACTCTTAGGACGTTTTTGATGTTACTCTAACATGTTGCAACTTATTTTTCTTTTATAGATTGTGTCAGATTCAGATGTCGATTTTGATGTGTTCTACACTGCTGAAGGAAAAGGAGTGAATGAATTCCCCTTCGGTGTCTTCAGTCTTGATAAAGATACCGGATTACTGAGAGTGCACAAGACAATAGATCGAGAGATAAATCCAAAGTTTATAGTAGGTTTTCTAAAAAATAAACTATTCACACTTTTTATTTAGTCCTGCCCTGTTTTAATTACCTAATTTAAACTGCATGTTCACAGTACATTTTCCCTGATAGTAAATTTAAAATTTGTGTTTGTTTTATTTTTGCAATAAATTTTTTAGTATTTCATTTATTAGTATTATATCTCCTTTTCACATTAATGTCAGGAATATTTGATAAGGGTTTCTCATTTATGTGTTCATAGCTAAAGATCAATGCTTTGGATAAAATAACTCAAGAGAAAGGAGACGAACCTTTGTTCCTTGAAATAATAGTGGATGATGTTAATGATAATAATCCAGAGTTGGAAGGCAGCCTTAATTTCTCTGTGGATGAGCAAACTGCAAGTAAGTAGCAGCAAACTCTTAAAAGTCATGTCATATTCATGGAAATATTTCCTGTAAACATCCTCTAAATAAAGAATTTCACCCATAGATATGGTAGTGGGGAAAGTGAATGCTACAGACAAAGATGATTCCAAAACTGATCACGTGAAAATCAAATACATACTCAAAGATGGGCTGGAACATTTTGCCATCAACCCAGATACGGGTGTCATCACCACTGTGTCCAACACACTGGACCGAGAGGTAAGCACCGCCATCTCTAAAGACAAATGATTTTGTTCCTAAGGCTGTTACTCCCTAGTTTGAATTGAACTCTAATTTCATTCCATTTCTGAAATGTATTTTAAGACAAAAGACAAGCATATGGTGACTGTAGAGATCAGAGACTTGAAGGGGGCACCAAATGGTCTTTCTAACACAGCTACGGCAACAATCACCTTGAACGACATCAATGACAACCCACCAACTTTCAGAGAAACATCTGTAAGTGCTTAAAAGCGGAATAAATGAATATTAAATGTCAAAGTGTAAGAGGATGTTTGCTGCCAAATATCAGACAGTCTGTGTGACACAAATTGCTGGCTTTATTTGTGTGCGCATAAAAAAAAATAATGTTGGTGTACATGGATACCCGGAACCGGCCTAATCCCTAATTCAACCTTGTGATTGTTTTTTGTGTGTCTTTTTTAGTTTAAAGCCACCACTCCAGAAAATAAGGAGGAGGAACATCTTATCCTTAGAATTCCTGTGGACGATAAAGATTTAAATACCACAGATAACTGGGTTTCCAAATTTGTCATCACAAAAGGAAATGAAAATGGATATTTCAGGATTGATACTGATCCCGAGATAAATGAAGGACTTCTCTATGTTACAAAGGTTTGTTGTTAGACTCAAGAATTGTTTAAGCATAATATGATTGATACTTATTCACAGGACATCAACTTTTATCTCTTCATTTACATTTTTTTTCGCCCCACTCTGTTTCTAGCCCTTAGATTACGAGAAGACCAAGAATATAGAGCTCATGATTTCGGCCCAGAATGAAGCAGAGCTGAAAGGCACCACTGCCCAGTGGCTGTCTGTCCCAGTGAACGTTGCTGTCACTGACATCGACGAAGGCCCTGAATTCCTTGCTCCGACTGTTACCTTCACAGTTGATGAAAACTTACGAAATGGCACAATAATAGGAACATACAAAGCTATAGATCCAGAGACCAAGAGCAGCGACGGAAACATGTAATCCTCTTTTTTTTTTTTTATTGCCTTAATTTTTAAAAGGGATTTCCTTTTTGTGGATCGACAGAACTATAGCACTCTCCAAAAACACAGCTTTTGGATTATCTTAACCCTTTGTTGATGCTTTGCAAATAAATCCCTGAAACATTTGTTTCACAATTTATAAGATTTGCAGTGAGTTTGTCGATTTCTTTTCTCCAGAACTAATAACAGGAGAATTTTGGACAATATTCACTATTTCCAACAGTTGATAGTTTGTTTTCCTTTATCTAACGTAATATAAAACTTTCTAAATGTGCAATTAGACTGAAGCTTCTAATTTACAGAAAGTCTCGCTTTGAGTTCTTTCTCAAAGAGCTAAATAGGAAGACGGAAAGGATAAAAAAGGAGGAATAAATAAATAAATTAACAAAGAGGCTTATTCTATTTCATTATGGCCTGTGGATATTTGTTGTCATCCTGCATTTTAAGATTGGGAATGTCTTCCAACGGTGTTAAAATATACTTTTAAATGTATTTGACTGCAATAAAACAATGGCTGGTTGATAAAGTTTTTTTTTAATATTACAACAAGATCTATTTAAACTTTTGAGCAGCTTTTTTTTTTAAATCCAATTTTAATGAGTTGTGTGGGTTAGAAAGAAAGAGAAAAAAACCCCAAACAAACGAAACTGGCTCTCCCTTAGCAAAAAGTAGTATACTTGAAGTAAATTCTATTAGGAATACCTACGTATAAGTATAACTTTAGAAAGTATACCAAACAATGTACTTTTAGTGTACTTGAAGTATTACTAAAGTACAGTAATACTTCTTCAAACTAAATTGGGACATTTTTAAATTTACTTTTAAATTTTATACTTAAAGTATACTTTAGTAAACAATAAAGTAAACAGTAGTATAGTGAAGTACTCTTGATTATACTATTGTTAAGTACAGTGGAGGAAATAAGTATTTGACCCCTTGCTCATTTTGCAGGTTTGCCCACTTACAAAGAATGCAACAATCTACAATTTTAATCATGTGTACATTCTAACAGTGAAAGACAAAATCCTAAAGAAAATTTCAGAAATTCACATCATATGAATTTATTAAAATTGATAACCATCTTGTAAGGTTGTGATTATAAAATTAATGTATGTACATATAAGCATCTAAGCAAGGAGATGCTCCACTCTGTCTTGTGATTCAGTCAGGAGACCACCCTGCCTTGTGATTCAGTTGGTGGAGCCTTCTGTCTTATGAACTGATCAATTGTTCTGTCAGAACAGTACTGTTTTGTAACCATGTGTTATGTTCTGTTAATAAAAGACAGCTGCAGGAGGGGAGTCGAAGAAAGAGCTGGAAGTTGGGTTGGGCTTTTTCCACTCCTGCAGGAGTTGTTTGAATCTCTTCTGTGTGGACTTAGTTTCTCTATTACAAACCTACATTTTTGAACCTAACACATCTGATGAGGAAAAATAAGTATTTGACCCCCTGGACAAACAGCATGCTAATATTTTGTAGAAAAGCCATTATTGGCCAGCACAGATGTCGGTTTTTATAGTTGGTGACAAGGTTTGTGCACATTTCGGCAGGGATGTTGGCCTACTCCTCCCTGCAGACAGTCTCCAAATCATTCAGGTTCCGAGGTTGTCGCCTGGCAACTCGAATTTTAAGCTTCCTCCAAAGATTTTCAATTGGATTCAGGTCTGGAGACTGGCAAGGCCACTCCAGAACCTTGATGTGCTTCTTCTTCAGCCACTCTTTTGTTGCTTTGGCGGTGTGTTTAGGGTCGTTTTCGTGCTGAAACACCCATCCTCGACCCATCTTCAGCTCTCTCAATGAGGGAAGGAGATGTTTGTCCAGAATTCCACGATACATGGCCCCTTCCATCCTCCCCTCAATACGATGGAGTTGTCCCGTCCCCTCGGCTGAAAAGCACCCCCCAAAGCATGATGTTGCCACCACCATGCTTGACGGTGGGGATGGTGTTCTTTGGGTTGTACTCGGTGTTCTTTGCCCTCGAAACACAACAAGTTGGGGCCAAAAAGTTCTATTTTGGTCTCATCTGACCACATCACCTTCTTCCAGGCCTCTTCGGAGCAATCCAGGTGGTGAATGGCGAACTTGTACATGTTTCTTTTTGAGCAGGGGGACCTTGCGTGCGCTGCAGGATTTCAATCCATGACAGCGTAGTGTGTTGCCAACCGTTTCTTTTGTAACTGGTCCCAGCTGCCTTCAGTTTATTCATCAGTTCCCCCCTTGTGGTTTTGGGATGATTCCTCACCGTTCGCATGGTAAGGGACACCCCACAAGGCGAGATCTTGTGTGGAGGCCCAGACGGAGGGAGGATGGCGGAGGTGTGGTGCTTCTTCCATTTCCTGATAACTGCACCGACACTTGATATTTTCTCTCCAAGTTGCTTTCCGATTCTCTTGTAACCCATCCCCGCCTTGTCCAGATCAACAATCTTGTCCCTGATGTCCATAGAAAGCTCTTTGGTCTTGCCCATGTTGGTGATGTTGGATGCTGGTTGTTTGGGTGTTGACAGGTGTCTTTTATACAGGTAACGAGGTAAGGCAGGTGTATTTGATGTAGATAATTGGTTGGGATTGGGGCTGTGTCTTAAAGAAAGACTAACTGGCTTGTAGGAGCCAGAATACTTTCTGTTTTGTAGGGGGTCAAATACTTGTTTTTCCTGATCAGATGGTTATCAATTTTTATAAAATCATATGTTGTGAATTTCTGGGATTTTCTTTGGGATTATTTCTCTCACTGTTAGAATGTACATATGATTAAAATTGTAGATTGCATTGTAGGTTTGCCCACTTTGTAAGTGGGCAAACCTGCAAAATCAGCAAGGGGTCAAATACTTATTTCCCCCACTGTATGTGAAATATAGTTTAGAATAAGTAAACTCTAAGGGCACTGCCTGATTTTAAGTATAGAATAAGTGTAGTATACACAAATAGTTTAAGAATAAAATACTTTTTGCTAAGGGAAAGAGGATCTTAAACACGCATAAAGTTGTTTTTCTTTTTTTTTCCTGAGATAACTGTGCTGTCTTTCCATCCAGATCCCCTCAAAGTCAGACTACAGACCACAGCTGTAGGACGATCGGCTTCCCCTTGTTTTTTCCTGTAAATAACTTTTTAAATGAGATAGACGTCGTTACTTACAGTGAGGATGGTCAGTAGAAGGAAAAACCTGCCTCTAAGTAGATCCATCAGTTTGAGAATGAAATAAAAACACAAGGATTTATCCAAATTTTGATGTAAGATCGCCTGAGTTTTAGATCCGCTGTAGGCTTTTTGTTGGTTTCTTCAGACTTTGACCCAGTTGAGGAGGAATAAGCTGTATTTTAGTGCGGGGTGTGTCTATTCTTTCTATATAGCTCTTCTCGATATAAGGACTACAGTGAGAATGTTGTGTAAAGCTTTAGGCCTATATCCTGTCTGCTTTCTACTGAAGGAAAAAAAAGAAAAAAATTGAAAGACGATACTGATTTAGGTTTGGTAATAATAAAAACCTGAGTGTGGACTAGTTTGCCATGTCTCTATGGCTCCAAAGAGTTAATGTCTGATACAGGGCCCTTCATACATGTGACTCTTCCAGAATTGATGAAAAAAGTTTTGTGAAGGCTGGCCCGATTATGTCTGGTTTACTTTAATTCAAAATAACTCTACTGATCCCCAAGGGAAATTGAATGTTGTAATAAATCATAAGGTTTTATTGTAACCTTGGGTTGTCACGCTAATAATCAAACTCCATTGATAACCCTCAGGACCTCTATTAATGTCTGTTTCTGTGGCACATCTTAAAAATGTACATTTCTATTTTAGATTTTGTTTCTGTTAAATTTATGTTTCTGCGCTCTCGGACTGCCGTTCTAGTTATTAGACTTTAGATCTGTGGTGCATTTTTAAAGCTGACCAGCAGGGGGCCATAAGCAACAGCAAAGTCTGCTTATACATCAGGCCAGTCCTAAAATCCAAAATATATAAAGTGTATTTCCCAGCTTGTTTGTGGTGTGGAATATTTAACCAGCCCTCCTTTCACAGTAAATAATTGCTTTAATACTTTCTTCTGAAACCAAAAAGGATTTGTTGCAAAATCATAAGAGCTTTCTTTGTAATTGAAGACTAAAGGAACTTCTTGGAAAAGTGCAAATGTAAAACTAGTCTCATGCGGTGCAGCTTTTGAATCATAGTATCATTACCCACTTTTACTTTTTGACCATATAATATGAGGTAGAAGCTTAAATAAAATCAAAACAGAGTTCATCCTCTGGTCTAAAATGTTTTCACCTCTCTGTTAAACTTCACGTGGCGCCATGAAATTCTATAACTGAGTATCATAGATTGTTTTTCACCTTTGGCACCACTGGGCCACGCATTGTTTCAGCTTGAGCAGTCATAGTTGTGTTCTTGGCTAAATAAAAAAAGGAGAGCAAGATGCGACAATGAGGGAATTCAGCAAGCATGGTCATAATGCTAAGTGCTAAAAGGAAATGCAGAATCAGTTTTATTTAGCATGTGGCTTTGACAAATATGATATAATCCAAAAGAATTAATCATTTTTAATCACTTCAACAGAGAGTTGTTTTTTTATTGTGTTTCTTAATCAAGTTGATCTCTAGTTGAATGTCTGGTTTAGGTGCAGCCATATGTGACAAACTTGCGTAATGGTAAGAAACGGATTTATTATACAGTAATGAGGCGTATCTCTATGAATGGGGTTAATTAGGAGCTTAAAGCTACAGTGTGTAACTTTTAGCGACATCTAGCGGTCAGACTGCAGACTGCAGCAAAATGAACATCTCCCCCCCACCGCTTCTCCCCCTCAACAGTACGGCGAGCGTTACGGGACAAAATGTCTTCCACGACGTCCGCATCAGCTACCTTCTCAAGTGATGAGGTTTGTTTACATAGATAATTTTACAGATAGTATTTCATTAGTCTGAGTAGGGTATAGATTTCATGTAGACTTAAGATAATAAATATACCTGTTATTTTTTCTACATCGTTGTGACATTTTGGCGATCTCGCAATCGCTAGTTTGTTGGCTCTGGGCTGCCGTAGCGCAAAGATGTCTGCCTCCATGGCTGCGAGACCCGCTCCTATGTAATTATAAATAACGAATTCTAAGGGAACGCAAATATTAAGGTTAAGAGGCTGAGCTCGTAGATGATGATAAATAAAATAGTTATGTATAATATATTACATTTCTGACTGTATATCCCTGTAATTATTACACACTGTAGCTTTAACATCACTATTATAGAGAATTGGTGTTGCGTAAGTTTTTCTAGTAAGAGAGACCATCCATTGAACAAAACTATCTATGTTCAAAAGGCACAGTATAAATACTTTCCTTTAGAAATAACATTTGGATTGCAATTAAGATGAACCTTAAATTGCTTCATGCACCTTAAATGCTTGAAGATTGAAAAGCATAATAACTTTGCAAAATGCAGACCAAGCTAATGTATTTACAAGTAACAGCTTTAGGGCCTTAAGGAGGACTGATTGCAAAAGCAGATGAATTACACTATGACTGTTGCAAAACAAAACACCAACATTCCTCAAGTGATGCTGAAAC